ACTAAGTATAGAATCCATATCCCAACAGAAAAGGAGTTGAATCCTAATATAACTAGAGATCTACACAGCCCAAGAGGTAACTCTTATAAATACAAGGCTTAAGACTCCCATGTACACATTCTAAACTCATTTACTACTTCTGCCCACACTGTGCACACACTTGCACACGTCTCGGCTCGGCTATAAGCTTATTGCTTGTGCGCACTGATTGAGATATTGACTATAAGCCAACCAAGGTACCTATCTATAGGGTATCTCTGAGCGTGTATTATACATTATATCATTTACAGTTCTCTAGGACCGAACAAAAACCATATCGCTTGATCCACTATTAGGTAGAACAACAATGAGTCTTAGAAATCCTTTCCACGTCCACCTTCCCCCATCAACAAATCAAACGTATAAAAACCAGATCTACCGAAACATCACACCCACACAAAGTATAGCAAATACAAATTGTTTATAATGCCATCACCGACAAGATGATGAAACAAAGGGAATATATATATATATATATATATATATATATATATATATCAACTCCATATTCAAAGACTTAAGCGAACCAAAAAGGCAAATCAGGAATCCACATCGAAAAATGAAGAATGGTTAACGAACCTGCTGGTATAAGCTGTAGAGAAGAAGAGCAGAAGACTTGGGGAACTTGGAGGTGAGAGCTTTGGTTGGAGAGGTGGATCCGTCAAACCCGACGTAAGAGGCTGCAGCGTAGAACCGCTCTGGGTATTGCAGACTAGAACCTCTCGCCATCGCCATCGTCATCTCTCTCTCTCTTCAATTCAATCGAAACTCTTAACACATAGAATGTCTTGAGATTTTACAAAAATAAAATAAAAATAAAATTACATGAACACATTAAGATTAAGAAGAAATGAGAACAAAAAATTCAGGTTGTAATGGGAGGAGGTCGTGTCTTCATAAACATAAATATTAAGTTTTCTGCAGATGCATCCTTAGCAGATGATAGATCCACATTCCACTCTACTGGCAAAAATTTAGCATAACCCCCAAAGGTTTTGATAATTACACTGTGCCCACACTTATAATATGTTGTTTGCTTCTTCTTCTTTTTTACCATTCACGACATCGATTTAATAGCTCGTTTGTCTTGACTTTTTAAAAATGTTTTTTTTATCACTTTTTTATTTTAAAAGTATTTTTTATAAAAGTTACAGTTATTTAGATTTTTAAAAAAAATATTTGATTTTTGACTTCTACTTATTTTAAAAGTTAAAATTTTTAGCTTCTAAAAAAAAGTAAATTTTTGATTTTTTTTATGACTTCTGTTTTTTTTTAAAGCAGACATCCAAACAGACTTTTTTAAAGAAGTGCTTTTTTTTAAAAAAAAAAACAATTTTTGAAGTAAAAAAAACCCATCCAAATAGGTTCTTAGACCCGTTTGTACGATCTCCTCAAAACAATGCTTTTTATGTTTTACAATTTTAAAAATATTTTACAAAAGATAAAATTATTAATATTTAAAAAAAAATTAACTTTTTCTAGAAGTTAAAAAATTTAGCTTAAAAAAATAGATTTTTAATTTTTTTTTGTGACTTTTATTTAAAAAAAAAACAGATATCCAAATAGGTTTTGTAATAAAAGTATTTTCTGAAAAAAAAAACAATTTTTAATTAAAAAAATTCATTCAAACGTGCCCTTAATTCTAAACGAGGAATAAACGTTTTAGATTTACTTCTGGTAAGAGGTAATACGGAGTTAGGAGCTTTTTTTTTTTCTTAATATGAGATATTTACATTATGGCTTCTTGCATTAGCATGAAAAAAGGTATGCACATAAAACAATATAAAATGAAATAATTATAAAGGTCATCAAAAATTGATGTATGAGATGGGATTATTTGTCAGCTATTATTTATTATTTATTGTATTTTTGAATAATATGTATTACAAATTTGTTACTCCAAACGAAGATTTCATAGGACATAGGCAGAAACCTCACGTAGTATATTAATTGTAACGATTTCTCCATGCAAAGAAACTATCCATCTAACTCACTGGTGCCAAATTATATTTATACAGATGAATGACGATTAAACACAGCTATGGCTAAAAGATAATTCAAATTTCATCAAAAAAATTCAAAAGCTGGCCATAAGACATAACATATAGAAAATCCTAACAGAATCATGTTCTGACTGATTGGGCAAACTAATGTTAGTTGACTTATAATAATTTTATTTTCAATTTTTAACCCTAATTGTTTAATATATATTTGATGAAGTTGTAAATGAAATAGCAAGTAGGTGAGTAGAAATTCTTGAATTAAATCAAAGTGTGAGACTATGGATCTATTTCCCAAGATGGTGAATTATATCGATCAAGACGAGAAAGGTACTGATATAGATCAAAGCTCTAAATGTCACGATACTAGCCTCAAGTGAGCTGAGGGTAATAAGGGGGAGATGTTTAAGGGCTACGGCTATGACTGAGGTATAAGTTCGGCAGAGTTAAAACAATGTAGAACGAATGGAGAAGATGAATAGTGAAACGAATGGAGAAGATGAATAGTAAGGTCCCTTTATATAGAATGTTGAAGATGCTCTCCAAGAACGCAAAATGTGATGTCATAACCGTTTCCAAGCGTTGTGGACCTCTCATTAGGTGTGAAGCTAGGTGACCTATGACGTGTAAAGGTCATGTGTGCAAGTGAAGTGTTAAGAGACACGTGTGTAGGGGAGTCATGTACACCATATGCCAAGTGATCATGCGGTCGGATCAGAACAATTCTAATATGAAGGGAAAGAGAGTGCTTTCACAAAATCTCAAAAAATATTTTATGGAAGACATTTAGTTGACGAATATCCAATTGGATCATTAATTTAAAAATATATTAAATATAAAATAAAACATTTAAAATAATATAAATTAAGAAAACATTGAATATTTACTTATTTAAAAGTTATAAACATCTGTTAGAAAGATATTAAATCCTTTTTAACCCTACAATAATTGGTTAGTTAGATCCTTCGTTGAAATTCCATAAAGTGCCATTATAATTAATTAATAAAAGGTGAAAACGTACATTTTTATTTTTATTGGAAATAACTATTTGCATTTAATTTATTTAAAAAAATATTTATAAGCCCAACTAACAAAAAAAATACATATATAATAAGGGTATAGAATTTCTCTAGTCAATGGAGAAAAGTTATTTTCAGTGAACTCAAAATGACGTCGTTTTAGGACGAAAATCAAAGTATTTTTGTAATTATAATATATGACAAGGTTATATTAGTCTTTATTATTATTTTTTTAATCTTATAACTCTAAAACGACGTCGTTTTGAATTTACTGGAGATAACTTTATCTCGGATGACTGGAGAAATATTTTTTCATATAATAAAAATCATAATAACCCAAGGGGCGGCACAATTGATAAGTGAGTTGTCCAAGGAATACACTATTGTGGCTCAAAGGTTACTGGTTCGATTCTGGGAAAAAAATATTTTAGTACCAATGCTAAAAACCTTACACTCTAGAAAATAAAAAATAATAACAATAATCATAATGATAAGGAGCTTCATCCACTATATCAATACATATATACAAAGTTTAAAACAAAATCGGCAAAGCAAAAAAAAAATCATGAATCAACCTTTTCGTGGTCTTCGCCCCCATCGGAATTATAAGATGGAGCATTTGGTAGAGGATAAATTTTTTTTTATCCGAGAATTACGATTTTCAGTAATGTGATGGGAAGATGAGTTTTCCGGAAATGTTACCAAAAAGTTATTTGGTAGATCGAAATATTTCCGGGAATATTGGGATAATTTTTTTATGCTATATTTAGTTGTATTAAATTTTTTCTTGTCGTAGAAATCTTAGAATACCACCCCTAGATGGTATTTTTGGATGATATTTTCAAAAACATTTACGCACAAAATAAAATTTCGGGAAAATCAGATTCGCAAGAAAATTTTAAAAATCTTGTATCAAACGTGAGTAAATACAATTACCATTTTCAGTTTTCCGGAAATATTAAAAAAAAATCTCGTAACAAACGACCCTAATTACACCTTGCACATAATAGTAGTCAGAAATTTTTTTTGAAGGGGGACGAAATTTTAATGTAAACTTTTTTAGAACTATCTATATGACAAAAAAAATTAAAAATGGTGCTTACACTGAAGGGAGGTCATGAGCACTAAATATATGGCTAAAAAATTAAAAATAATGCTTATTTTCTATAGGTTTATATAAATTTGAAGGTGGCCGGCTTGCTTCACCACTGGCATACAGGGACTGTGGACTGGCAGTAAAACAATGTTATTATTATAATCTATATTAATTAATAATCGTAATTAAAAATGTGGTTTAGTTTACAATTTAACTGTATGTGAGTACAATGTTAAAAGAAAACTTGAGAAAGGGTTAAATCAAGTTCAGGCCAAATAAATATTTATACCAAAAATAAAAGCTTAGACATGATCGAATTTAACAGAGAAATAATATAACTCAATATAACGTTAAGCACGTCAATGATACTACAAACTCGAAAAACAAAAATAAAATATAACAAATAACCAAAATATGCATTTAATATTAAAGAAAGATGATACGATAATTGGAAAGGGTTTGAATACAATAATTTATAATAATCCGAGCTCTGTGTAGAATCTACGTACATCCATTCTTTAACCAAGATTTAATTAAATTATCTTTCATCTGCCATAGTCTTTCTAACGTATATGCATCTATAGAATCTACACGTACATCCATTCTTTAACAAAGATTTTATAAAATAAAACTATTGATAGATATTTACAGTATGATGCTTTAGTAAAAGCACAAATGAATATCATATTTTCATAGTTGATTCATATATAGTATAAAAAAGTTATTTACCTTTTTGTACGTTTCAGTGTTTAATTTTGACACTTCAAAAGGTCATTTTGAATATATTGCGCAGTTCTTAGATATGAACTTTACACAAGTATATCAAATCATTTGAGGCAGTTTTGAACGATCTAAATAAGATCCAATTTAGAGTAATTAAGGCACGTGAAATAATGATCAAGAACGTGTTTTATAATCTCTTTAATTATAAACAGGATTATCCAAACTAAGCTGAAAATTCCACCCCCTCCAAATAGAAATATTGCACATTAATTCTTCCCTCCCCGGAACCGTTGGTCTTTTCAAATGCTGCTTAAGTTGCTGAAAATGATTCAAAGCCTGAGTTGTTGTTTGACCAATTTCTCCATATCTCATCTCTTGCATCCGTTTCTGACGGTTGGGCTCCGCCATACAAATCACCATGTGCACCACCACCACCACCACCTCCTCCTCCTCCTCCGATCCCCAGCAAGTCCAAAGTCATTACATCTTCACTTCCTTTAGTTCCATCAACAATATTGATGGTACTACTTGACCTAAAAACACTATCACTACTTCTACTGTTCTGCTCTATGATCTTTGATAAGGCCTTACTTTGATCCAATATAGCATTAAACATATCCAAACCACTCATTCCAACGCTACCACCATCCATCCCATTCGCATTGAAATTATACTGAGAAGAAAAGTCCTGTTGACCATTGTGCATGTACTGGTTCATGATCCCATATAACTGTTGTTGTGTCTCACCAAATGATGGTGGTGCCATGCTTGTGACAAAACTTTTTCCCGTGATCATGCCATTGGTATTATTATCACTCACGGTAGCGCCCAATTGTGCAGCTTTTTGCAGCAATGCAGTAGCAGACATGTGAGGTAAACCTGCAGCTAAATGGAGCCCATTTTCCTCTGACATGTTCGAATTACTCAGTTGAAGAGGGAGAGAAGAACTGGATGAAAGGCTTCCTGTGAATACAGCTCCAGCCATGTTGTTGTTAAAGGGTCTTGTTGCTGGCATTGATGTCGTCATGAGTACTGTTTGAGGGAGTGATGATAATGGGTGTTTGCGATCTGAGTTGTTGTTGAATTCGGACGTCGCAATCTGTGGGTTGAGATTGGTGTTGATTGGTAATGACGATGCAACTTGGTTTGGTATTGGTTGGCCCTGCATGTTTGAATTACCCATATTTGAAAGGTCTTCTTCGTTGACTTTTTTATTCTCCTCAGCTAGTGCATCACAGAAAGCTCTGTGGGTGATGAAGCTATCTCTTCTGCAGATAAACACGCATATACGTGAAGCATATGCTGTGAGTTATTTTTGTGCACTACGTACTATCAAAATTAATAGAAACATAAGGAATAACGGGGAGAAAGATAAGAAAAGGGTTTAATGTTTCCTATAAAAGAGTGTGTAGGGCTATGTTTTATCTTTTTCTTCCTTTTTTTTACATGGGTTCCGTATACTTTTAGATGTGTGTATAGAGAATAAATTTATCTCCTACAACATAAAAAAACATTCAACCGGTGAAAATAAAATATTAGAACTTGGTGAAAATAAGATATTAGAGCTGTATTGACAATTAAGTTGAAATGTGATGGTGTAAAATTATACTTATTTATATATATATATATATATTTATTTTGCTCCTCTTTAGAGCAATCAATGGGTATTTATTATGGAATAAAAAGACCCGACATTGAATCTTTGACCGGACTAGATTAGATAAATATATAGTGACTTGAATAAATATACTTAGAGAGAAAGAGAGACAGAATTTATTATGAAAATGAAATTAAAGACGACTAACTATGCATATCACAAAACTTTTGAGTATAAGTAATTATATAAAAAATAATAAAGGGGTGTGTGGTCAAAGACCTCCAAGCATCCAAAATATATAGCCCACTTTAGTGGTAAAGGACCTAACTAGTGCATGCTATGAATTGATTAATATTCATGAGTCGAATTACATATATATATATATATATATATAGATAGATAGATAGATATTATAATTGGATAACAACCTGGAAAAGATAGTGCCACAGTCACATTTGTATTCCTTTGTACCACATATTTTTGAATGGGCTTTCCAGTCGCATTGGACGGCGTATTTCTTTGAGCATTTATCACATTTCCACTTCTTCTCGCCGTGCTTTCTGCTAAAGTGCTTTTTAATGCCAGTAAGATCGCCTAGTGCTCGAGCTGGGTTGTGGTGGACACATGAGGCTTCTGGACAAACATAAACCCTTTTTCGAACTTCAGTGCCGGCTCTCTGTTTAAGCTTCCATGGCAAGTTATGACCTCGCCGGTGCAACTGAAGGTTCTGGTCCCTTCGAAACCCTTTGTCGCAGATTTCACATATGAATCGGTTTGTGGCCACGAGGGAGTTTGGCGATAGAGCTATGACTTCAGCACTTGGATCTGCACACGCGCGAGTGCCACACAAATTAAACAATATATATATATATATGTTTCCTACCCGGCCCCTAGTATATATTTGCTTCACCATTATTTATTAATGTACAACGGAAAACCTTTATTTCATATTATTTCAATATTTGGGATACATGGTTGAAATAGGTGAGAAAAAGCTATAAAAAAAAATGAAGATATGTTGATGCAATTCAAAATAATGAAGAAAAACGTGTCATATTGGATTTTTCATTTACACAGATAAGCCAGAAACAGAAACATGTGAAGAAGAAGAAAAAGAGAGAAAGGTTGGATATAATTAAAATAAAATCCGAAATCTCTCTCTATCTCTTCCACTCCTTTCATTTTTTGACACACCCACAGAAGGAAACAAACACATCAAGAACACACAGAAACAAAGAGCCCGAGAGAGAGAGAGAGAGAGTGGAGTGGGGTATATATTTCATGTGCAAAGATATATGGTCCTTTAACTGAAACAGTAGTGGTGATGGTGAAGCAAAAATAAAGGAAAAGATGAGATCGAGCTAGCAGTAGTGAAGCAAAGTCAACAGTGAACAGCAATGATTGTGAACCCCTGCAGGCAATAATTGAGCTTCTTTGACTACTAAGCACCAATAATTCACCATTTTTTGTTATCCAATTTTAAATGATTAGAACATCCCAGATCCTTGCCCCCGCTTAAAAGAAGATTTAAGAGAACAAAATTCAGCTAAAATCTTCCACATGCCTTCTGCTAGCTAGATCAAGTTTAGATCTTATCCCCCACTTTTATATGTATCATATTAATTAATTAAGCATGCCATATAATCCAAAAAATTTATGCAGGCTTTTCTAATAGATAAAGCCCATCTTGAGCAACTATATACAAGTAATCAAAGTACCAGAATTATTAGAAAAGGAATATTCAATTAATAAGAATATGCGCAGGCCATGAATGATAACGTTTATATATATATATATATAGCTCCCACTTTTATTTTTATCATCCATTTAAATTCAAGAAAAATAAATAAATAAAACCAGTAATCAGAGAACGTTTGTTAGAAATTAGAAGTTACCTGGATTTCCTGGTAGGCTTCTTTTCTTCTTAACTGGTGGAGGTAGTTGTGAATTTGTGTTTGACCCATTACTATTATTTGTTGTAGTTGAAGCATGAGAATTTGGACTATGGAACTGACCAAGTATCTCTGATTGCTGTTTAACTGCGTCTTCTCCGGTATTCTCTGTAGAGAAGCTCCCACTATCACAATTTGTGATGTTTGACATTGAAAGGTATAGGAAAAAAGATAAGGTAAGAATCTATTGAAAATATTTCCTTCAATTTTCTTACTTTCTCTTTCTTTCTAAACCAGTGTTTGTTTTTTACTCTAGTTCTTGCAGATTGCTCGCAAAAGAAGATGGAAAAAAAATTAAAGCAGAGAATTAGATGGGATATGCGTAACTAGAGGAAGACAAAACCCACGAAACTCTCCTCCTTTTATGGTGTGGAGACGACAGTTCCTGCAAGCACAAGAATACAAGAACTGTGCTTAGGATTTGCACTGTAATAAAATATATTATATTAGTTTAAGGCATTTTTTTTATTTTTTATTTTTGTAGCTACATATATGCCCCTGGCATTGCTTGATATTAAGAGAAAAACCCTTCACTCAAATTTCTAACTATATAGTTAGCCACTCAGCATCCTCGGAGTTCTTACTAATTTAGAGAGAACAAAATCGTTGATTCAGTGTACTAAAATTCTCAATATCATAAAACAACATTAGAGGGGGTTAAAGGAATTGAATTAACTTTTTTTTTCTTTTTTGGTAACAGGAATTGAATTAACTTGTGTATAAGCAGAGGGACAACGTAATAACGGATACATCCTAATCTATAAAAAGGATAATGTCGGTACTTCACTATGATAAGGTATTATTTATTTCAGGTATTGGTAGCGAAGAATTTGTCTGTTTCTTGGTGATATTATTAATTATGAATATTATAATGCGAATAATATTGTTCCTGAGGTACCCTTTTCCTTTGACCGAAACAACAGAACTGCCACCGAGAGTTAACTCGCTTAGCTATATTGGGAGTATAATTACAAACTTAGCCTTACCAGTCACGGGATTGAGTACTTCACGAAGATGACCCGACAATAATACAAAAATTCTTCTATTCACATGTGCCTGGTGTAATTCCCAAAGGGCATCAAATCAGGGGTAATTTGGATATTTAATATTTAATTTCAAAACATGGGACCTTTTGCCATTTCTCATAACTTCGAAGTTCGAACATAATAATGAGCAGTGGCGTGTCGTAAGCAGTCTTCCTTCTGTTGATGAAGTACTTGATTCAATGACTACGTTGATCTCATTTTCTATAATTGAGGAAATAAATATTAAATTTATATTCCTTATTATCGATGAATGATCAAATTGATTTCACTTTACTTTAAAACAAAAATGATGTCACGTGCATTTTTATGAATTAAAACGAGGTTTATTTTTTTTTAATTTATTTTCTAATATAATAATAATCTTTGGTAAATGGAAAATGTTATACACAAATATAATTTTCTGAGTTTAATTTAGATATAATATCCATGTTAAATGGCTTTATATTATTCTTCAAATATTTGTGTTGATATCTCATTCAATAAATTTAATTTAATTATTAACTGGATTAGATATCAAACTTATTATATGCAATACTAAACATGGTTGAATACTCGTATAATTTTTTTTCGACAATGCATTAAAATTAAATTCGAACTCTAATATTTTTTAATACTTATTTCTCTCTTTTCATCCTTAGCATCATTGATGTTGATAAGTGATGCACCATATATCTATTTGGCTCAATATTTAACCATCAAAATATTCTATTAGCCTTGCTAATTAACACTTGATCGCATCCTAAAAAAGCTTATGCTTACGAGCTCATCTCTTTCTTTTTAAACTAAAAACTACTATTAAGATAAAGTAAAAAAAATAGTTTTAAAAAATAAAACTTAAAGTTGTTTAATGATTATATAAAATTTTAGGGTAAATGATAAAATTTATAAATACAAGTTTAGAACAGGGATAAAACTATAAAATAAATAAGATGAGTCAAAAAAGCTGGCATACATCTTGAAAAAAAAAAAACTCCGCTTGAAAGCTTTAATTTAGCTTTTAGCTTTTTTTCATTATTAAAAAAACTCTCTTTATAAGAAGAGCTTTTATAAAAATATGTTTGGCTTACTTTTAAGGAGAAGATAAGTTAAAAATAAGACATGTTAAACAGACACTAAGTCAATTGCTTGCTTCTCTTATAAATAAATATGTCTCTCTAATTCATATTTGGGTGTGCATGACAACCATTCTATTCCCTAACATTGTTTTTGAAAAAAATAATTTTTTTCTATTTCTATGGCTTGAAACAGTTTATGAGAAAAAAATATGTTTGATAACGTGTTCTATTTTTATTCTGAGAATGAGAATTGTGTTTGATAACACAACAAATAATATAATAAAAAGTAATTCCTATAAAATATAAAAAAAAATTGGATCATCATTTTCCTTTTCATATGGTGTGGTTGTGGTGGTGGCGGCGGCGGTACAGTAGTGGTGGTGGCAGTAACATGGTGATGATAGTGGTGGTGGTTGTGACGGCGGTGGTAATGGTGGCGGCGACAGTGGTAGTGGTGGTGATGGTGGTTGGTGGCAGCGACAATGGTAGCGATGACATGGCGGTGGTGGTTGGGGCAGTGGTTGCGGCAATGGCAATGGTGGTAGGTGACAATGGTGGTGGTGGTGGTGGTATGGTGGCGATGGCGTGGTGATGATAGTGGTGGTGACGATAATGGCTGTGACGATGGTGGTGGTGGTTGGTGGTGACGGTAGTGGTTGCGGCAATGGTGGTAGTGGTTGGTGATGGTAGTGGTGGCGTTGTGGTGGTGGTAGTGGTGGTGATGGTGATGGTGGCGGTAGTGGTAACGGTGGCATGATGGTAATGATGGGTGGAGGTGGTGGTGATGGTGGCGGTGGCATCATGGTGGTGGGTGGTGGTGACGACGGCACTAGTGGTACGACGGCGGCAACAACGATGGTGACGGTGGTCGTGTCGGGATGACGATGGTGGTGGTGATGATGGTAGAGGTGAAAAGTCATTGAGAGAGATAAGTGTTTCTCATTTTATGCCCGGAAACAAAAAAACAGAAATTTTCTGATTCTTTTTTCTGTTCCCCAGCACAAAAATTAAATCGGTTCATCCCGGGAACAAAAAATAAACCGATTTTTCCAAACAAGTTTTTATTCATTTCTGTTCCGGGAATAGAAATTAAAGAAAAACTGATTCCGGAAAAATTGTCTTGCACACCCTATGGGACTGCTTCCATTCATATGACATATATATTGACTTGATTAACGGTATTCACGTAGGTTGTTGCTAAAATGGTAAGTATACTGATCGTACAAGTAATAAGGTAAAGAGTAAAGAATCATTCCCACAAGGATTGACATACCAATCACTAATTTCACTTCGCGACCAAAGTTGGATCAACCGTAAAGTTTGTTGAAAATATGATTTAAAATATAAAACTAAAATCGAACCTATCAAATAACTATCAAGAACAAGCACCAAAAACTCACAATGAAAATTGGAATAAATCTAATAATGCAAACGTAGCTAGGGTGTAGATTTCCCCAACATCTTCCTAATGAATTTACCATTTCTTATAACTAATATTCAACTTATGTTATTGACAATTCTTTCACGATTAACCAAAACTCAATCCCTTGGTGTTTCAATCCTTTACCATATTAAAAATCCTAATTCCTTAGTGATCTCTCATAGAGCAAGCATTAAGAACAAGAATTCAATAGTCATAGATTTTGTAAGTCTATTCTTAAATCATACGAGTAATTAATCAATTGGAAGCTTGAACCAACATCTCCATTGTCATGCAAGATTCTAGTGTTCATTCAAGACTGATCAAATCATAAACGAAACTAGGAATTAAAAATAGATTAATTGCATAACATAAAATTGATTATCAGATTTATAAGAAAGGAAAAGATAGCATTAGGAATCCATAGATTCCATTTAACTTTAACTACAAAAATGAAACTAGCCTAATATGACGAAAGAAACATAAACATGACAAGAAAAGAGACAAGAGTTCATGGATAAAACTTGATAATTAGTATCACGGTGAAGTCTTGATCGTTCCTCCTTCTCCTCCTCCAAGAATGATGCTCCTATGCCTCTTGAGATAGTGCAAAAGTCCATAGAAAAATCCTAACTCGTGCTCTTTATAACAAAAAGATCCATGTGCCTTATTTACTAAGTTGCTCGTGAGCAACTTCGCGAGGAAATATGATCCGCTCGCTAACTTTCTTGCTAAAGGGAGCATGTTAGCGAGGTTGAGGCATGAATAACACGTATTCTAGTCCTGCTCGATCTTTGGTCCTGCTTGCTCAAATGAGCATGCCAACGAGGATAAGGTTGCTTAAATATTGACTTTTTTGGCTTTCTTTAATCCATCAATGTTTCATAATAACAATTTCAAACTGAAACTAATATAATTTTAAGTTAGCAACACGTCTAATCATAAAAACTCTAAAGTCTTTTGCATTTAATAATATACACCATATCTTTAATCATATTTATCATTATTTAACATACTTTTGATGATATAATTGAAAACATAGTTACATCACCACGTGGTGTTTCTGCAAGTGCACCAATATCCTCTTTGGCAAGGAGTCACCATTAACCACCGCTAGCTGAGGAAGCTCAAAACCATTATCTCGTCGACCCAGATATCTAGAATAAACAATATGAAATATTATTTTTTTAATAAATAATACGTAAGAAATTTTAAATGTGTATGTAACATTTTTTAAGTAGAAAAACGGAAGGAAGAATACGAGACTTAAATTTAAATGATAATTATTTTAGCTCAAATTTCCAAAAACATGATATTTTCTTTGTTTGAAATGATTAATTTGACTAATTGACGTTTCTTTCAGCTCCACCGCGTGCACGTCGTCCAAAGGGGAAAGCATATAGAGGTATGTAAAAACCTTACGTGGATGTATCATCTTTTCATTCCCCTTCACATGTTTTTTTTTTTTTCACTTTTTCACATTATGTTTGTTCAAGAAATTTTATGCATTGATGGGACTTTGGAACCTCAGATCTGCTATTATCACCTTGGAGGCCTTTTCAGTACATGATGAGCAATATTGAACACGTTAATTTGCTCCTTCTTTTTTGTCCATCTACATTGCGCTTGTCTTTTTGAAAGAATATTTTTGGCAATTTAAAATTTAAATACCTAGCTACCCTAATTCATTTATTTGAAAATAAAGATCGAGATAGCAAAAGAAAGCGACTATTCTGTCCAATTTTGCTGTTCCCCGTCCTTTACGTTCTTTTTTCGTCTGCGTGTGTCTCATGTGGGTTCACATCGATGATTAGTGATCTTTTCATTTCTTTATGATTCAAACTGTAACTACATCATATAATTGGTCAAAA